GTCACCAGCAGGCACTTGGGAAGTCCCAGACTGGACTTAGTGATGGACAGGAACTGGATTCCAGCTCTGGAGTCAAGAACACACAGATCAGGATCAAAGGCAGATGAAGAGACAGGGTCCTTTTTGGATGTCGGCCATTGGAGAAATAGGCTGACCCTGTGATCCCCCAGCTTTTCTACAGAGCATGGGGCAGATGGGATGGAATATCCTGTTGATCAGGTTTGGTTCACCTCTCCTGTCCACTCCTCCCTGCAGGTGGACCTTGGTTGTTATAGCAATGAGTATAAGCAAGAGCCTCTCTGCCTACCATTCCTTGGCATCAACTCTAAACAGAGGTCTCCTCACTCTGAGAACTGGCAGTTTTCTGCACAATATGCCGTTAATTTCAGAGAGTTAGAAGAGGCCTAACTAAGAAGCAAAATTACTGAACAGAAAGCTGGTTCTATTCTACCTCAAACCAGGGCAGACACCTCCTTTTGTCATGAAAAAATTCCTTGGGCATGTTGAAGGGTTAATTCTGCCTGTGCTCTGAATTGCTCACTCTGAGCAGTGAGGTTCTGTCCTCTCACTGGAGGTGAGAGGACCCCACTGAAATGAGGTAAGAGTAACCAGCTATGTTAGCAATCTCAAAACCTTGCACACCATCAGAGCATAAGGGCCCTTTTAAAAAGAAAGCTGGTGTAGTTTTAAACTGAAGAAGGGGGTGGACATGCCTATTTTATTGCTAGATGGCAAGACCACTTGCTGAAGAACTGGGAGACCTCCATACGCAGCGGTGTTTCAAACTTGCATCTCCTACCTCTCAAAATAATATCCTAGTGACTAGACTAGGAACTCAAACCCTATTCTCATCCTCTCCAGTCTTGTAGGGCGAATTTAGTGAAAGAAGCAGCATAAAATGCTGTGTCTAGGAGGAGGTTTTATTGACTATAGGCGTTGAGCATAAATCCAGGTCTCTGATCTGTTTTATTCTCACTAGACACTACAGATGTGTTGAACTGAATATCTGGTGCATAAAGAACTGAATGCCCCAGCAGGTTCAGCATCAGCAATGGGATTTGGGCCCAACTCTGTTGCTCCCGAGGCAGCTCTCCAGCTGCCATGTGTGCTCTATGCCAAGCTCCTGCCATGAACTTTCTCAGTTTTTCAGAATTCCCAAGCTGGACTTTAAGTTTCGTGTTGGGAGTTGTAAAACATAAGAGGAAGAGAACAAAATACAACTACTTAGGAAATGTAGAAGGAAAAAGGCATGCGTTCTAGCTCACTACAGATACCAGTTTGTGATTTGAAACATCTGATTGCCTTCAGTTTAGCATATTGACTTAATAGTCACCGACTATGTTGGAAAGGATTAGATTTTTTTTTACTCATGAGTTTATCATAATAAAGATACTACCTCTACCTCAGTTTTTCTAGACAGAAATTCTTACTTATCTAAGTGGTAAAAGGTTTTTGTTTAACTTACATTTGTTTTACAATTATGTCTTCCCATCAGCAATACGTTTTGGAAGAATGCCAAGGTCTGAGAAAGCCAAGTTGAAAGCAGAAATTCTAACCGGTGAAAATTATGTCGAAGATTCAGAAATGGCAGATCTTAAATCACTCGCCAAAAGAATTCATGATGCTTACCTGAAAAACTTCAATATGAACAAGGTTAAAGCCAGAATCATCCTCGCAGGGAAAACTAATAACAATCCAGTAAGTACTTTTGCTGTAACTTTAAAGTAAAGCTGGCGAGTACGTAAAGTGATTATAATAATTTGTTAAACTCTTAAGCAAATCTTTTTGAAAATAAATATCATGCTGATACAGACATGAAATATGCAAAAGGAATACCTGTGGTAAATATGTTTTTTTTCTAGCCACTATGAGAATAATAGGAAGCTTCAGGAAAATAATGTGATTAACCTGTAAATGGAAGCTCATAACCTTAAATTCTATTAGACACAAGGTAAAGAAAATCAGTTCTTAATTAAAAAAAAAAAAGTGATATCTGAATGTAAATACCTTTTGGTATGGGTGGGGGAAATGGTTCAAAATTAATTTCTTATTATGAAAGGGAAAAAAAAATCCTGTTATCTTTTATGGTGTACAGGAGCTCTGTAAGACTTTTGTTTTAATCACAACAATATTAATGGCAGGAGGGGGAAGAACACTTGAGTTTGTAATTCTTTGTTTACGGTTCTGGCCGTTTCTTCACCCAGTCTTCGTGGTCTTTACCTATGGTTACTTTGAAAGGGAGAAGCAAGCAGAGTTGGGAAGACACATACACTGCAGAGGTCATTTTTCTTTCAGGATAACTTAGCCAAGTATTATACCAAATAGTGAATGTTCTCTAAGAATTTTACTTAGCTCATACAACTTAATATGTGTTCTGAAATATTTACTAGTTGCACAACATCGAGATTTAAGTCTGAGCCATACTGTTTTAAGAATTGGGAATAATTTTCCTAAAAAAATAATTAATATGGTAAGAAACATCATTAGACAATGAAGAATTTTGGCTATTTAATGCTATCAACTGCTTTTTGTTTTGTAGCACAGGAGATAGTATAACTATTGTAAGGACTGACTTGTTTCACTTTATGCATTTTTTTTTCTTATTTTGTTGTGATTTAAGTTAATTAAATGTAGAAGATAAAATTGTTGGTAAAATAAGATACTTAATATCAGTAAACATTTGCAGGGAAGGTTTTACATACGCCATAATAAAACCATATACCTGTGGGGATGACTGTTATAAAAATTGTAAGCAAGCTGTCTTCTAAATTATGGAATTTGGTGTATTATAGTTTAGCTTAGCCATGCATACAGGCTTCTACATTAAGAGTCTTTTTCACTGGATTAAAGAGATCCTTAAAATTAAGCATAGGCTTAAATTTTTTGGAGGGTACAAGCTGGCAGAAGGCTGCAGTAAGTGCCATGTGTTAACACCTTACCAAGTAGGTATCTGCATAAAAGTCCCTTTCAAGCTTGTTATCACATCAGAATCATAATTTACAATCTGTGTTGTACATGCAGGGATTCTAGGTCACTGCACCCTCATTTTTGAGTTTGCATTAATGCAGTCAAGGCTCTCAGATTATAATAATCCAATTGACAAGCTAATAGTGGCTTGCATGTGTCTTGGTAAATTTACAAGTAAAAATTAATGAGGAATTAGATCTAGTATATTATAAACAGGCAGCTTCCTCATTCTTCAGTCTGCAGGGAAGAAGAGAGGTTCTTTAATCTGTTTCATCATTTCTGGGGAAAACAGACATTTTAATTTTCTTTCGACTTTTTAACAGGAAAAAAAAATGAAGGGTTTGTTGTTGGTAATCCATCTGTTTCTGAACAATACATTATCAGTTGATTTCAGTGAATCCTGATTCTTGGCACCACCGTAACTCATTTCTGCATGAACAAACATTTTTCATGATGATGAGGTATCACTTTTAAATTGAAATGGTCTTTGCAGAAAACAAGTGTGGCCATAGTAAAATGATGATAAATTCCCAAAAGATTACATGATAGCCTACTTCTTTTAAAGGGTTTAGAAATGTGGTGGGTTTATTGCTTTGCCACTTTCTGCTCGTATCTGTATGCACAGAGGAAGTGCTGTTTGATACAACTCTAAGTACTGAAATGAGATGGAATGTGTAGTTGCCATAAGCATTTAAAAATGGAAAACTGGGAAATCAGCATGTTTGACGTTTTTTCAAGTGAAATAAGTGAATTCTATGAGTTTCTAACAGGAAACCAAATGTTCCTCATGCTATTTAATCTCAGATGAGCACAACAGCACAGGCAAGGTGCTTTGCTTAGCATTTCTGGAAGTAGATTTATGTTCAAGGTCAATTGATATGACTTTGGTAGGCTGAGAAGCGTTGAGGTTTGTTGTTTTGCTGTTGTGAATTGTCCTCTGGTTACTACTCTTCAGATACATATCAAACTATTTTTGAGTTCTGACTGTTCTCAAGAAAGTCTGAATGTTTGGTTTTTTTGTTGTTTTTTTTTTAATATGATGTTTTAAGAGACTGGCTCATGACATTGTAATGCACGTACCTTTTTAAATTAAGGTGGTTATGGAAAAGACCACGATCAAGACTGAATTTTGTGTTGTCTGACATTCTGGTGGGATTCTGGGTCTAGAGATGACTTAGCATTAAATGGAGCTACAAAGATGAGCTGAATTTCTTTGGTAGATCAGCTGGGACATTCTATGAAAATCAGATAATAAAACACAAGAGTAGTATAGGGTTCACATTCTTTTGCAGACACGCTGTCCTGTATTTAAATGGCTGTCTGTATTCCCACTAGGCTACAGCAGGAAAGCTTCATGATGTGCATCAAGTGTAGGTAGCTTAGGAATCCATAGGAGCCACAGGCAGAATAACCTGGGCTTCTGGAGAAGGTAAGATGAGTCTTTTGTGAACCTTCTGGGACTTGCTTGGAACTGGATATCTGCATACTAAGCACAGTACTTCTGGATCTTTCCTCTAACGACTGCATAAAACTAGATTAAAGATATGTCATACATACTTACATTTGACTAGTGGTGTTTACAGAGCAGGCTTGTTCTTAGAAGTTGCAGTTTGTAGCTCTGTAACACATGGTTTCTCTTCATGCAGACCTATGAAAGAACTCAAGGTTTGTTAATAGTTGAAGACCGACTAGCACAAAAGTTAAAGTCCGTCAAAAATCAAGTTCTTTAGGAAACCAAGGATTAATAACCATTAGTTTGTAACTGCATTTGTATTTTTTTTTCTCTGTAGCCATTTGTTATACACGATATGGATACCTTATGTATGGCAGAGAAGACCCTGGTGGCAAAATTGGTAGCCAATGGCATTCAGAACAAGGAAGCAGAAGTTCGGATCTTCCACTGCTGCCAGTGTACGTCTGTAGAGACTGTCACAGAACTTACTGAATTTGCCAAATCTATCCCTGGCTTCTCCAGTCTTGACTTGAATGATCAAGTGACACTGTTAAAATATGGAGTTTATGAAGCCATATTTGCCATGTTAGCATCTGTGATGAACAAGGACGGGATGCTGGTAGCTTATGGAAATGGTTTTATAACCCGGGAGTTCCTGAAAAGCCTGAGAAAGCCATTCTGTGATATCATGGAGCCCAAATTTGATTTTGCAATGAAATTTAACGCACTAGAATTGGATGATAGTGATATATCCCTTTTTGTTGCTGCCATCATTTGCTGTGGAGGTAAGCATTACCTATTTGTTCTTTAAGGTAATAAATTTTAACATTTTCTTCATGCGAATGAATACTTTTAATGGAAAAGCTTACATATTTCTTGAAGATTCAATAATACCATTACCAATTTTCCCTTTTGGTGTGTTTCATGGAAGATTAACAGTCTTGATTCTGTGTTTTGCTTTGCAGAATTGTAGACATGCTTGGAATTACTGTTTAAGCTCACTTACAGAGGGGTCTAAGTTACTCTCTGTTTTTAAAAGTGGCGTATGAAGAGTGTTGGTAGTTGTTTTGTTTGGGCTTGGGAGGATTTTTATTTTTTTGATCTTTAAGGCTGGGTTGGAAACAGTATTTGTATCAGCCAAATGGGCAGAAAAATTCTATGTAATGAGAGTGGAGGCAGGTGCAGATTATAGCTTTGCTCATCTTTGACATTTGCTGATTGCATCACGTAATGAGTTCTGCACAAAAGCACAGCTCTGATGCACTTCCTGTGTTCTGATTTTAATGTCACAGGCTGTTTTAAACAAACAGCTTGCTTAGCTAATTAAAAAAAAAAAAAAGCTGATGGTATTTTAAAAAATTATTTCATAGTATCTAAGGATATGGGATAAGCTTGTTGTTAGTTTGTTTGGTTTTTTTAATTCCTGTTGTTTGAACTGCTTGTGAGTGAAGGGACACAAATGTAATAGTAATTTATACTCCTTTCATTCCTCTAGAAAGTTAGGATGTTCATATTTACGGTTCAGTTCAAAACTATCCCAAAGCATTTTGAGAAAGGAAAATAAAAGATCAAGAAGGTTCCAACAGCTACTCCTGCCTGCCTTTTTTTGTTTTCTGCCAAACTCAGAGGATGTTTCGCTTCCTATGTTGCACCCTCAGCGATTGCAAGAAGAGAGATACCATCTACAGACATTCAAAAGCTTCATGTGCTAGTTTAGAGAGCAGGTTCCCATCAAATCTTGAATTACTTTTGCACAATACATTGGTATTTTGACGTGTTTTCAAACGTCAAGAGAGTTGTTTGCAGGCAAAATGTTTTGGGGTTGGTTTTTTTTTGTTTTTTTCTCTCCTCCTTGGAACTAGCTTAAGGTTTCAAGAAGCATGTTTAGTCTGTTATCCCAGACTTCTTACAGAGAAGTTTGATTTGGAAAGTGAAGGTATTACAGGACTGTAAGTAGCTGAAAATGAGATCATATTCTACAATGAGTAAAACATCCTTCATAGATGCTTCTCTCTATCCTGTCAAGAATTGTTCTCTGGCAATAAACATATGGGAACCAAGAGTGAAAGCCTATTATTTGGCTTGCCCTATTGCTACCAAACTTCAAGAACTCTCTAGAAATACCCACATGCTTTTTACTCCCTCCTTATTGTTGGAATTCTGTTATCGGGATGTACAGAATACAGAACTGGATACTTACGCTGGTTTTGGGGGATGTGGGTTTTTTTTCTTTGGGGTTGTATTTAGTAGTATTGAAATCTCTCCTCAAATAACTGTGGGCATTGGCAAAACTTTGGCCAAAGGGATAAGGGAAACTAGTCTCTTTTTTCTTTTATTTTTTTCTTTTTTCTTTTATTTTTTTCTTTTTTCTTTTTTTTTTCTTTTTTTCTTTTTTTTCTTTTTTTCCTTTTTTTTCTTTTTTTTCTTTTTTTCTTTTTTTTTTCCTTTTTTCCTTCTTTTTTTCCTTCTTTTTTTCCTTCTTTTTTTCCTTCTTTTTTTCCTTCTTTTTTTCCTTCTTTTTTTCCTTCTTTTTTTCCTTCTTTTTTTCCTTCTTTTTTTCCTTCTTTTTTTCCTTCTTTTTTTCCTTCTTTTTTTCCTTCTTTTTTTCCTTCTTTTTTTCCTTCTTTTTTTCCTTCTTTTTTTCCTTCTTTTTTTCCTTCTTTTTTTCCTTCTTTTTTTCCTTCTTTTTTTCCTTCTTTTTTTCCTTCTTTTTTTCCTTCTTTTTTTCCTTCTTTTTTTCCTTCTTTTCCTTCCTTCCTTCTTTCCTCCCTCCCTTCTTCCCCCCCCCTTTCCCCCCCCTTTTCCCCCTTATTCTTCTTTTCTTTTTGTTTTTTCTTCTTTTCTTTTTGTTTTTTCTTCTTTTCTTTTTGTTTTTTCTTCTTTTCTTTTTGTTTTTTCTTCTTTTCTTCCCCCCCCTTTCCCCCTTATTCTTCTTTTCTTTTTGTTTTTTCTTCTTTTCTTTTTGTTTTTTCTTCTTTTCTTTTTGTTTTTTCTTCTTTTCTTTTTGTTTTTTCTTCTTTTCTTTTTGTTTTTTCTTCTTTTCTTTTTGTTTTTTCTTCTTTTCTTTTTGTTTTTTCTTCTTTTCTTTTTGTTTTTTCTTCTTTTCTTTTTGTTTTTTCTTCTTTTCTTTTTGTTTTTTCTTCTTTTCTTTTTGTTTTTTCTTCTTTTCTTTTTGTTTTTTCTTCTTTTCTTTTTGTTTTTTCTTCTTTTCTTTTTGTTTTTTCTTCTTTTCTTTTTGTTTTTTCTTCTTTTCTTTTTGTTTTTTCTTCTTTTCTTTTTGTTTTTTCTTCTTTTCTTTTTGTTTTTTCTTCTTTTCTTTTTGTTTTTTCTTCTTTTCTTTTTGTTTTTTCTTCTTTCTTTTTGTTTTTTCTTCTTTTCTTTTTGTTTTTTCTTCTTTTCTTTCTTGTTTTTTCTTCTTTTCTTTCTTGTTTTTTCTTCTTTTCTTTCTTGTTTTTTTTCCTTATTTTCTTTTTTTTTCCCCAAAGATTCATTGCCCTCGGTGTATAATATAAATATACCCTGCAGCCTATAACACAGAATCTCTAAAGTAGCCTACTTTAAAGAATAATTTGAAAATGATGACATGTATTCTTTTTTGTCTGTTTTGAGAACAGATCGTCCTGGTCTTGTCAATGTAGGATACATTGAAAAAATGCAGGAGAGCATTGTGCATGTACTGAAACTTCACTTGCAAACCAACCATCCCGACGACACCTTCCTCTTCCCAAAACTTCTCCAAAAAATGGCTGACCTCCGACAGCTTGTCACAGAGCACGCTCAACTTGTTCAGATAATTAAGAAGACTGAATCTGATGCACATTTACACCCTTTACTACAGGAAATCTACAGGGATATGTATTAAGGACTTTGAGTATTATTTTTTTTTGCCACAATATTTAAAGATGAGCAATACTAGTAACGGATGGGAGCAAAACTACTTGCACAGTTCTCTGCTGTTCACTCAGCCAGGAGCATGAAAAAATCTAAAAGCTGGGTAACTGGAGGGTTACACTTCTTTTGGTTTGGGATCTTTTGTCTTCTTTTGAAAGAGTTCTGCGAAAACATCCTGATCATAGTGTTCACAACGTGTCTTACAATGGGTTCTTTTCTTTGGGAATTTGCAGATTGGTAAGGAATACGAATTTGTATAATAAATCAGAATGTTATGTAACAGAAATGAACAAAATTGCGTTTCCTCTCGGCATAGTCAGTTTAGAATTAATGTAACAAATTCAGCAAATTCTCTCCGCTATATGCACAATCATAAAGATTATGCACTTTTGGCTAATGGTAATTACTGAGAACCAACTAACACTTTTTCTTACAGCAGTCTAGGTGTATCAAATGGTTGGATATTACTGTACAGATACTTCTAAAAAATTTGAAAGGACCTTTGATCTGCTGCTGCTTTAATTCCATGAAATGCAGTGCAGCTTCATAGAGTACTACATTGGTATACCTTAGGATTAGCATGTTTAAAAGGTGGGTTTTTTACAAAATGAAATAAAAGCTGAAGAGTTATCTAAAATACAGCAGGGATGCTCTATTCAGGTGTTTCTTGAAGAGTAAATGCGATACAGCAATGGAACCCTTTTTGCAAAAGTGCTTTAATGAAAATCAGGAAAAATACCGTGCCATGTATTTTTTGGAGAACTTATAATAGCTCAAGATGCATTTTTGACTTAAAAATACTATTTGGAATTAGAAAGAGCTTTGGAGAGACTGAAAAATCTGATCCTAGCCCAGAAGAAACAGTTTCAGCTGCGCAGCATTCTAGTGCAGTGGTAGCTTTTTCTGAAGAAATGATTGTATAGGAAAGGCACCTTTTTTCTTGACAAGTCTTGACAGGCTGAGGGAGCTGGGGGTGGTCAGCCTGGAGAAGAGGAGGCTCCGGGGAGCCCTAATAGCAGCCTTCCAGTACCTGAGGGGGGCTACAGGAAGGCTGGGGAGAGCCTGTTTAGAAAGGCCTGCAGTGACAGGACGAGGGGCAATGGCTTCAAGCTGGAGGGGAACAGATTTAGACTGGAGATGAGGAGAGGGTTCTTCCCTGTGAGGGTGGTGGAGCACTGGAACAGGTTGCCCAGGGAGGTGGTTGAGGCCCCATCCCTGGAGATATTCAAGGAGAGGCTCGACGAGGCCCTGGGCAACCTGGTCTAGTTGGGGGTGTCCCTGCTGACTGCGGGGGGGTCGGACTAGATGGCCTTTGGAGGTCCCTTCCAGCCTGGACAACTCTATGAGTCTAAGTGTCTTGGCAGTATGGAGTTGTTTGGACCTGTTTACTTTCTGATGAATACAGTTTCACGTTTTCCAGTTATCCACTCAGATATATTCCTTTTATTCCTTTTTAGGCCCTCTCAACAGAAGCACTAGCTATAGACTATCCCAGCAGTCTCTGTCGTTGTCCACACAGCCATAGTGGATAAGGTGATATTCCTTTTTAGGCCTTCTCAACAGAAGTTCTAGCTAGACTATCCCAGCAGTCTCTGTTGTTGTCCACACAGCCATAGTGGATAAGGTGACAGTATTACCAGGAACAGCATTTGTAGGTGTCGATTGTGTAACATCTGGCAGAGAGCACAGCTGGAAGTTTATCCTCTTTCTGAGAGCAAGCTCTGATTTTACAACAGCACTTACTCCCGATGCAAAATAAGCCATAACAGAACAAGTTGACTTTGCCATTTTACAGGATCTTTTCTCAGAGTACCACACACAAGTGCTAGTTGCATGCAAGACACTGTGCTGTTTCTTTCATTATTTTTTTTAATATGGTAAATTCACATTATTTATCCTTATTTTACTATATGTTTCATAACACAGAGATCTCAGGAGCTGATCCTAGCATTTTCACAATAGGTAAGCTTTCAGTGGCACAGGAGGACACTTTGTACTTGTTTGATTGTAGCACGTTTGAAGACTTCAGAATCTTAAACCTTCACTGCAAGAATTAAGCAAGATGGAGAAAATGAGAACATCACACAATGATTCTTATTTTAGTCACAACATTTGTTTCTTTACTGGCCCGCTGGCACGGCTCGGCAAGTGGATAAATTACAGGTTTCAAAGCCATTTGGTATTTATCCAGGTCATTAGCAGAGGTGGTGGTGTCAGATATATATTTAGTGTAAAATATGGAAGCATAGGCCTTCAGTTTGGTGCCCAGCTGGGGCAGGATAGCAACAAGAAATGCAGGGACACACAACTCTCTCCCCTTCCCCTGTCACCAGTGGGCAACAGGAAGAATAGACCGTACGTTGCAGCTAATTCTGATGCTTCATTTGAAGAGGAGGATTGTTGGTCTCACCAGGAAAGGTCAGATAAGAAATAGGTTGTCTTTTGTGTCTTTTACAGCAGTAGGGACTACGGCCTCAGAAACAGCACCAGGATTTTAGCAATGCTGCTGCTTTCTTCTTGGAGCCAGCCCTGCTTCCCTAAGGAACCGTGGGGTTTGGCACGAGCCGTCGAGCGTTGAAATAATTGAGATGCAATATTGCTTACCCCCCAAAAAAATTGTCAAAATAGCAGTCATTCTGCGATGGCTTACTGAAACTCAAAGAGCCAACTGTTTGAAATTTATCTTCAAAAATAAAAGGAAGTATAAGTTGAAAGTTGTAGGGTTTTTCCCCCCCCCTCCCTAAGCTGAGATGTACTCAAAGGGAAAATTTCAAAGTTGTGTTCCATAGTTTGGGTGTACTCAGGTTTCTCAGGAAAATCAGGCACGGTCAGTGTGGGCAAAAAGTATTTTTCCCATTCTTTTTCTCAAAAGCGGCTAAAACACTTTACTGAAACTTTAAAAAAAAAAAAGAAAGAACGAAAACCAACAAACCCCCTCATGAAAATCTAATAACAAATAATTTAATTCTCAGCAAACAACCCCCCATGAAAATCTAATAACAAATAATTTAATTCTCAGCAAAACTATAAAGAATTAAAACCAGCATCATTCATTGGAAGGCATAACATGTAGCTATATGAGCAGCTGCTTCTAACAGGTTCCTATTAGCAACGTTAGGAAAGTGCATAATGTGCATTTTTCATGTTCCAAATCCATTTTGGTTTGTTATTTGAAAACCAGCAAGCATTTTATTTTTTTTTTATTTTTTTTACTAGCTCCTTGGACACTGAAGCTTGATTTCTGTTTTAAATTAAATTGCAGACCTTTAATGAAAAACAAAAAAAAAATGGCAAGAACACAGAATTACAGAAATATGAACAAGATGCTGACATGGCCTAAAATTGGGGCTGGGTTGCAGTGCCCACCCTGCTGCCCCTGTGTGAGGAATATTACTGAGGAACCTTCAGCATCTCCAGCTTGTACAGATCATCGAATATTTGAAAATCCTTCCTCTGTGGAGGAAATAAAGTGATCAGATTTTTAGGATTACAAATTCATTGCAGATTTACTGGTTTGTTAGGTAAAGGTTTGATCTGATTCTTACCAACAGAACTAACTTGACTATTGAATAACTTTGGTCAGCAGCCAGGTACCCACCAACAGCTGAAGCCAGGAGACAGCAGATGGACAAGGAAAACTCTGAGGAAACAATGGTGTGACTTAAATTTTCAACATTATATTATTTTTGAGGGTTGTTTGGGGTTTTTTTTAATTTTTTAATTGGGATGCCCTAGGTACTTTGACAAAGTAGAATAATAATAAAAAAAAAAAGTTGTTTTGTGTCAAGCATTAGGGAAAACTGATGTTCACTTTTTATCTCCTCCTTAAATATTTTCTTTAAAGGTGTACTATCTTCAGTGTAACAGCACCCAACTGCCATTTAAAAAAAAAAAAAATCAGTTACTTTGTACCTTTTTTAATTTCAGAATCCCACTTTTCTTTGAATTGCCCCAAATGGGCAGACAATACATAGGAATGTCTTTCACTTACAGAAATGGAATCTTTTTTCGCCTTGAAAGAAGTCTTTGCCCTTGTGCTTTGGTTCTAGCCAGCTGCTAGAAAGCTGAAGTGTTGCCAAAGAGCATATTTTTGCATTACTTCTGGCCTGCACAGATTTAGGAAATACCAGCAGTTGCACTAAGTCTGTTCTCATGAGAGAGCTAGCACAAGTTTGCAAATCAAAGAGCTTATAATAAGCATCTAAACATTTGTTTGTTTATTCAAACTGCTAAAACTTGGGGAGATTTATTCATCACGAGAGCTGGGTCACATACTATTAAATTTGAGTTTCCTCCTTATTTCTGAGGGAAAGCCTGAAGGACTTAGAGCCACCTCAGCCACAGCAGCAGAGATTACCCTGGGCTGGGTCTGAAAGAGGAACAATTTCAGCTCTGTCTCCCCTTCAAAGCATCCCTGTTAACTGAGTTGCAAATCTGCAACTCCATTTAACACATGCATTTGCAGCTGTTGGGATATTGCTTAAGCTTAAGGTCTTACAAATAATGGGCCTTCCCTGCAAACCTTAATCTTTTAGCAAGTGTTGAAATGTAAGGTGTCGTGTGGTATCTGGTGCTTGCTTGTAGCTCACGTGCTTTCTGAATAATCAGTTCCATTTAATTTTTTTTTTTTTTTATCTGGGTTTAATCAGCTTTATTATCCTTCTTTTACTAGAGATTTAAATTATATGTGGGTTTGATCTAAGATTATTGATATTGTTATGTATTGTGGGATTTTTTTTTTTTTAATTTAATGTAATACCATTTTGTCATGTTTCGATTTGTAAAATACAAGAATATAATTGCAAGGTATAAACTTTCACTAAATTATATTACAGAGGTGCTTTAAGAAAAATATGTAAATTATTTAATTTAAATATTTGTTTCATACTTTTATCTCGTGAACCCTTTTGTACAGTGAGGAAAGATTTACTTTTTTGGGGTAAGGATGATGGGCCTGAAGTCAAAGACAAACTGCTATTTATTCCTGTCTGGTCTTTATTACTGTATCATCTGTGAAGAAGTATCACAAATTCTGCAATTCTTATCGATGTTTGCGCTTGACAATTGTAACACAATTTAAAAATATATTTTCACAGACAACGTAGACTTCCTTTTATTTAATTTTAATAAAAGTAAGTCTAGGTGAGGGAAGAGCTGTAATCCCCAAAATCAAGTGCATATTTCTAATGGTTTTAAACTCAAATTCACCAACATGTAAGACAATTTATAGAACTGGGTTCCTCTTTGCTGTCCAGCGTGGTGGTCTGAACAGAGAGCTAAAAAGAGCTCCATTCTGTTCTTACTCTAATACTGATATTTTCTGAGGAACTGAGAAATACCAATGCGTATTGTCGGGATTATTTCCTGCTGCCTGCGCTGAGGTCGAGCTGCAGTTTTATTTAAAGATATAAAATTTGGTAGCACAAAACAAAAGGTTGAAATGCCATTACTGGCTTTTCTATAGGAGCGTTCCCTTTATGATTTTAAGTAGAAATCTGTTCACAGGGGTTCTGTGTCCTTTGATTCAGGTGGGACGGTCTGTGCCTGCAGCCTTCCTGCTAACGACTCCTCATACAGGTGCGTTGCCTTTTTTAAAGTCTACCTTTTCTTTTGCTGTGGTCAAAACACAGCATCCAGTACAAGCACAGTGTATTCCAAAGCTTCCAGCAGTGATTAATACTCACAGCGTTTCATTTAGAATATTTAAAACTTTATTGCCCCAACTCACTGTGTTTTGAAACTTTCCCTCGATGGGTGTCACCGCAGAGGTATATTTTCTGCTAAGGTGTTTGGGTCAGATTTGTAAAAGCTCTGCTGGACTTTCTTGTGGTACCCCCTACTGCTACTTTTTTTTTCCTCTATTTCGTAGGCAGCAATGACAAAACCCTGTAAAAGGTCCTAACAGCTCTGTCCCTTCACACTGCAAACACGTGATACACATTCTTTGTGAGCTGAAGCCATCCCAGAGCAAGGATATTTCCTCTTTGGTGTTCTCAAACGTCCTTACAGGTTTTTTAAAGGGTTTTTTGGGGCTTCTGACGCTGTTTTGTGGGTTGTTGTGCTGTTTTTTTTCTTGAACTCCTTTCTTGTGTTAGTCCACCTTGTCTGATTCCATTGCAAGGATGTTTCAAAACACAATTCCTATTGCAAGGACCTCAATTCCAGATGAGCTGCCTCTGCCCAGGTGAGAGGCTGCACGCACAGAAGAGATTAATCTGATTACAGGCTGGGCCTTAAATAAGGACTGCAAGATCAGGCATAAGGTACTTAAAGTTGGGTTTTTTGTTTTTTTTTTTTAAAGTGTTTTGGTATGTTTGCTCAGGTTGAATATTCAGGTACAGCAATCCCTATTGTGGAAGAGGCACCAGCCTTACGATCGATACCACAAGTTTGGTGGTTTAAGGAAAACCCACGGCAAAAACACGCACGTTTGCCAATATTTTGGTTGCTGAAAGTGGTGTGTTCTCCTCCTCCCGCCCAGGAGTGGGGCAGCACCATTGGAGATCTTGCTCGTGATGCACGACAGGAACTGCAAGAAGTGTTGGCAAACCTTCTGCTGGGTGGTTCCTACACAAATAACCCCGTTGAGTGCTGGTCTGATCCCCGCTCGGTCACCTCCGGCACGTCCAGGTGTGTTTGTGTGGGGTGGCCTTGCCCAGAGACCCGGTGCCTTGGTCCTGCTGCCAGGGACAGAGCTGCTGGTGCTGCCCTTCAGCCTTGAGGCAGGTCCCTGGGGTCGGGGAGCAGCCTCTGGGGGGGCTCTTCTGCCCACATGGAGCTGCTCCCCATCAACTGCTTCATCCCTCTCTCCTGGGAGACGCATCCCGTGGGATGGGTGGGCACGAGAAGCCACCGCTCCCCCTCCGTGAGCCACAGGAGTGGAAGAACATTGGTGGCTTCAGTTATTTCTTTAGTAGTAACGAATCTAATCAAGGTTTTAATAGAGCCCATTTTAACCAGAACAACCCCCTTCACTGCTGGACAAAAGCCCCGTTGGATGGGCTCCTGGGCTGAGCTGGGGTTCATTCTGCTCCTGCTACTTCACAGCTTTTACCAACAATCACTTCAAGTTGTCTTTAGGAACGTAACACAACAGTTTAATGACATCAGGATGTTAAAAACCCTTTATCGCCTCTTAAATTGTCTGTTATCTGAGATGACACAAAAAAAGGACATTTTTTTGCCAAACCCTAATCGCTAGAACTAACAAGTGTTTAATTAAATCATGGAGCTGCTCCCCATCAACTGCTTCATCCCTCTCCCCTGGGAGACGCATCCCGCGGGATGGGTGGGCACGAGAAGCCACCGCTCCCCCTCCGTAAAACACAGGAGTGGAAGAACATTGGTGGCTTCAGTTATTTCTTTAGTAGTAACGAATCTAATCAAGGTTTTAATAGAGCCCATTTTAACCAGAACAACCCCCTTCACTGCTGGACAAAAGCCCCGTTGGATGGGCTCCTGGGCTGAGCTGGGGTTCATTCTGCTCCTGCTACTTCACAGCTTTTACCAACAATCACTTCAAGTTGTCTTTAGGAACGTAACACAACAGTTTAATGACATCAGGATGTTAAAAACCCTTTATCGCCTCTTAAATTGTCTGTTATCTGAGATGACACAAAAAAAGGACATTTTTTTGCCAAACCCTAATCGCTAGAACTAACAAGTGTTTAATTAAATCAAGGTATCAATATTAAAGAGGAAAAAAAACCCCACCCAGATCATTGTTTCCAGTCACCTGTGTTTTTAGAAGGTTTTGGGTACGTTTTACTGCAGTAAATACGGAATTTACAAAGAGCAGGCAGTTCTTGCAGGGAGTAATCAAACCTAATTCTCATGGAATGCTCATTTCCCAGTAAAATACCACTAATTCAAGCCAAGTTCCTTTCTGTCAGAACAATGCAAATGTCATTTTCAAGAAAGAATGGAAGCCCCGGTCTCCCAGGGATTTATAGGAAAGACAAAATCCTCTTGCACTTTCGTGAATGTAAAAATGACATCCAGCTAAACAGGATGATGCATTCTCAGATGTTACCAGCCTACTGAGCTAGGATGAAAAAAAAACTTGAACTAAACGTTTTTCTTCTTTTTTTACATTCTGATTTATTTTTCCCCCCCCCGTCTCCTTTAAAAATAAGAGGTTGGATTCATACTGTTTGTACAGAGACTGGTAGGAACCTACGTGCTTTAAAAAGAAAAAAAAAAACCAAAACCCAACAAAGGTCATTCTTTAAGATTGAATGTAAACACCTTCATGAAATACAGTTTTGCCTTAATGGTTTTAAAAAAAAAAAATAAAAAAATAAAGTATTTTTAAAAGTGAATTTAATGACTAGTGCTGATCTTTTGTTTCCAGGGAAGTAATTCTCTGCAATGTAATGGTGCTGATTTGGGTAGGGAACAAGAGAGGGTAAGAAACCCTGGTGGGACTGGTGCCCAGATTTTTTGGGTTAGCATCAAATACTTATTAATGAATTACATTAAGTATGTTTACTACATAATAAGATGTGGGTATTGCAAGGATCTTTTAAAGCTGGAATGGTATTTGAAGCCTCTTGAAAGTGCTGATTAACTGTTAGACACACCTTTGAAATTAGGAATGTGTGTAACATCCATAGATGAGAGGGTGGTGAGACACTGGAACAGGTTGCCCAGAGAAGCTGTGGCTGCCCCATCCCTGGAGGGGGTCAAGGCCAGGCTGGATGGGGCTTGGAGCAACCTGGGCTGGTGGGAGGTGTCCCTGCCCAGGGCAGGGGGGTTGGAACTGGATGATCTTTAAGGTCCCTTCCAACCCAAACCATTCTATGATATAAATATAAATGCAATGTATATATTTGATCCATTTGTCTGCTGACCCACCATCCTGCTGTGTCCATCCATTCTCATTGATGGTACGACCAGCTCGAGAGGTTTGTTAAAGTCACCAAGCATTGAATACACTTCTATGTAGTAAACACCCTTCTTCTAAGGGTAGCACATGGCTTCAGTTACATCAGTTGGGAGGGTAAGTCACAGAGAATCATTTTCCCCTCAAGAACCTGGGGAAACTGGTAAAAGAGCGTCGAAGAACAATTAAGGAAAGGGTAAAGAGTCAGATTTCTTCCTTGGCTGTGCTCAGGAGCACTGAGAGCCTGATTTTGAGCCTCTGAAAGTACTCGGGGAACCTGATGAAACCGAACAATAAAGGCCCTCAAGAGCTTCAAGGCCATCTTGAAGAGTAGGCCTCGTGGCTGTTAAGTTGCCTCATGATGGTGTTTGGTCTGCAAAATCACATACACACCAAGACGATACAGGGACCATAATGTTCATGTTGAATGGTAAGTTGCCTCATGATGGTGTTTGGTCTGTAAAATCACATACACACCGAGATGTTATGATACAGGGACCATAATGTTCATGTTGAATGGTAACATGAGAATGTGGAATACCCAAGTTTTAACAGCTGGGCACAGATCCTTTGTTATTCCAGGAACCACCAAACCGCACACAGGTCACCCTTCTATCCCTAAAGCCTGGACCAGACACGATGGAACACATTGGACAACCCTGGGCTACTGAACCACTTTGTGGTACTTGCTGGAAGTCATGCTTTTCTTCACCTACGAGATATGTGTAACCAGGTAACTGTGAAACAAGGGTATCACAGAATGACGTGGGGTTGGAAGGGACCTCTGGAGATCACCTAGTCCAACCCCCTGCCAGAGCAGGGCCACCCAGAGCAGGTTGCACAGGAACGTGTCCAGGAGGGGTTTGAATGTCTCCAGAGAAGGAGATTCCACCACCTCCCTGGGCAGCCTCTGCCAGGGCTCTGCCACCCTCACAGGAAAGAAGTTCCTCCTCATGTTTAGGTGGAACTTCTTATGTTCCAGTTTGTGCACATTTCCTCTTGTCCTGTCCCTGGGCACCACTGAAAAAAGACCGGCCCCATCCTCCTGACACCCACTCTTGAAGTATTTATAGGTGTTGATCAGATCCCCCCTCAGCCTTCTCCAGACTAAAAAGACCCAAGTCCTTCAGCCTTTCCTCATCAGATGCTCCAGGCCCCTCATCACCTTTGTGGCCTCTGCTGTCCCCTCTCCAGCAGTTCCCTGTCCTTCCTAACTTGGCCATCCTTAACCTGCCTTTTCTGTTGTACTCCAGCTAAATGAATGAGCTGTGCTGGGCCAAATTAAAAAGCCTGTAGTTACAGATCCTGCTCTCTCTTAATTCTCAGTCTACTCCCCCTCTGGTTAAACTCAACAAGTTCTTAGAAGTCACTTCACAGAATCACAGAATCTTCTAGGCTGGAAGGGACCTTAAAGATCATCTTGTCCAACCGTCAACCTCACTGACAAAAATAGACACCCTCTCAACAAACAAAAAGCATCATCACTAAACCATACCTCCCAGCACTACATCAACCCGTCTTTTGAACACCTCCAGGGATGGTGCCTCAACCACCTCCCTGGGCAGCCCATTCCAATGGCTGAGAACCCTTTCAGTGAAAAAATTTTTCCTAATATCCAGCCTGAACCTCCCCTGGGGCAACTTGAGGCCATTTCCTCTCGTCCTGTCGCCTGTGACTTGGGAGAAGAGACCGACCCCCACCTCTCTACACCCTCCTTTCAGGGAGTTGGAGAGAGCAAGAAGGTCTCCCCTCAGCCTCCTCTTCTCCAGGCTGAACACCCCCAGCTCCCTCAGCCTCTCCTCATAAGACTTATTCTCCAGACCCCTCACCAGCTTTGTCACCCTTCTCTGGACCCACTCCAGCACCTTAATGTCTTTTTTATGGTAAGGGGCCCAAAACTGGACACAGGGCTTTAAATGATTCTCCCATTATTTCATGATGGCAAAGATAATGATTATGAATAATTGAGTTAAATGGCTTTCTCTTCAAGGGCACAGAGGAGGGTAAAGAGCTTGGAGACATTAGGTCCTTCCCAGCACATCGGTGGGTGCACCTCCTCGATGAGAGAGGAACTGCGCTAACCAAGCTTCTAAAACCTACTTCCAAGCTCAGAGCTAAGATACAACCTGTGGCCAACACCATGAGGTAAGAGAGACACTCAGAGAGACCTTTGCTGGTATGAACACAGAACAGGAACTCACAGAACGACGGTGCTTTTTGTCAGCTTGCTTCTAATGACCCCAGTTTTAAGACTGAAAAGCGCAGTCACTCTCTTTCTAGCATCTCTCACTCTTGGTTCAGTTACAACCAAGCGTCCTAAAGAAGTAAAAATAACTCACTGAAATCATGTTGGTTTTTTTTCTAACAGACACATGGTTCATTCTACTTAAAATGACCGAGTTTTGACGTTGCCATATGACAAAATATATGGATGGATGAGCTGACAAAGGAAGAGCTGTTAACCATGGCCTGACCAGGTTCTGACCCAATGACCAACAAGAGCCCGAGTCCATAACGTGACCTGGTGACTTGGGAGCAATTCTAGACATACCCTTCAGGTGTGTGACTAAGTGGTTTTGTATCAATGTCACCTAAATCTTCCTTGTAATTAAGACAAAGTCAACACAGATGACTGAGAAGCTAATTTTTGATCTAAAAAACCTGCTGTTTCCCCAACAATTTTTTACCCTTCTTTGACTGAAACAATGTTTCTGAAATCCCTATTCTAGCTGCAGTTCAGTTGCCCATTTCAGGAAAGAATTGCGCTTATTAACAAAACTTCTCTATTTCCAGATTAATTGATGTGAAAATGAAAACAAAGTCATCTTTACTTGTAAAACAAAAACTAGACATATTAAGGGTCCTTAACCTCTCCCACTACTGTAATGAATTAGCCTGGAAGATCGAGTGGAAAGTGAATGCAAGTGACTTGTAAGTATAATTTTTTTTTTAATTTTATTATATTGATATTTTATTATAAGAGCACCTACCTTCCGAAGTCTTTATGCTGTGATGGTATTCGGATTATAATCTTGAAGAATCTAGATATTTCTACAGGCATCTGTGATGTTTTCTCATAACAGTTTTATTTTGGACTTAAAAATAAAGCTTTGAATTCCTTGCCTACTCTAATCTTATCAGGACAGCACTGTCAGGTTAATTGTTGGTGTATACTGACTCTCTTGGACGTATACTGAATTCAGCCAGATAGATCCCTCGAGGATTTGCATAACTCTGTAGGAGTGTCAAGAACAACACAAAACATTAAAATAAGAAAAGTGCAAAGTTGGGCAGGGCTCCTGTGCTTTGTGCTGTTCAGGTTTTCGCTATGAGGGTTTCACGTGGTGACAACAGGCTTGTCTGCCCTTCCTTCTGGCTCCCCAACACCTTCAGGCCCTGCTGCTGGCGCTGCCACCGCTGCGTGACAACCTTTGAAGCCCAGCCAATTGTAAGGAAATGTGTTACTGCGTTCCGTAGTAGGGAGCTGATGAAGGTCACCTCTTTAAAAGGAGCAACCTGATAGTCTCCAAAAAGAGAGAGGAGAAGCCAAAGAAACGTCTCTCTGGGTCCTTCAGTATTTATGTTCTCCTATCGCCTTTTTTACAGGAGGAGGATTTTTGCTGGGGCTTCCTTTTATTCAGATCTTCTTGTATTTCCAAAGGAAAGGCCTTTAGGTTTTCATTCACACAAGGCAGGCAGAATCTTTTGGAGTAGAACAGACTACATTCCTGTAAAGAAAATAACATTATTAGGAGGATACACAAAATGGAGCTGCTTAAGTTCCAGTCCCGTTAAACCACATTTATATTTAGAATACTTCCAAATGAAATTCTTCTCCTAGGTTGAAATATTCCAGCAATTTTGCTTTTTCCTATTCAATAATTCTAACATCTGGTCAGAGCTAACTGGGTGAAAACTAAAAACTGGGTCTGCAACAACTGCTAACCAAATCTAGTGTTGCTCCTTTTAAAGAAGTGACCTTCATCAGGTCCCTGTTACGGAGAACACATTTCCTTACAATTGGCTCGTCCTTCAGGCATCATTCATGGTCCTCCTGGCATGATCACTAAATTCCAAATGGGATTTAATGGGTAAGCTGGAGCTGGTGTTGCTGATGGATTATTCTTGGAGAGTTAAACGTGAATAAAGGCATCAGCACGGATGGATCAGGACATCTTTCTGGGGTGTAATGGATTCATTCCATGGGTTTTACCCAAAGAGCAAAGTTTTCCTCTGAGAGATTTCATCCATTTAACCACCTTTACCTTGAATAAAGGTACTTGCTGATTAAAAACTAAAAACATACGAGGTACTAAAGGTTGAGCTGGTGTCTCCTCTCTGAATTCCCGATGGCAAAGCATAAAAGCAGTTGTGCAGCATTTTCCCTGCCCTTGAAATGGAATGACACTGTGATGTGACATGTTTTGTTCACAGTTAGCAAGCGTTACAGACCCAATATTTATTTTTCACCCACTTTGCTCTAACCAGATCACAGAATCACAGAATCTTCTAGGTTGGAAGGGACCTTAAAGATCATCTTGTCCAACCGTCAACCCAACTGACAAAAATAGACACCCACACAACAAACAAGGAGCATCATCACTAAACCAGACCTCCCAGCACTACATCAACCCGTCTTTTGAACACCTCCAGGGATGGTGCCTCAACCCCCTCCCTGGGCAGCCCATTCCAATGGCTGAGAACCCTTTCAGGGAAAAAATTTTTCCTAATATCCAGCCTGAACCTCCCCTGGGGCAACTTGAGGCCATTTCCTCTCGTCCTGTCGCCTGTGACTTGAGAGAAGAGACCGACCCCCACCTCTCTACACCCTCCTTTCAGAGAGTTGGAGAGAGCAAGAAGGTCTCCCCTCAGCCTCCTCTTCTCCAGGCTGAATAACCCCAGCTCCCTCAGCCTCTCCTCAGACTTATTCTCCAGACCCCTCACCATCTTTGTCGCCCTTCTCTGGACCCACTCCAGCCCCTCAATGTCTTTTTTATGGTAGGGGGCCCAAAACTGGACACAGCCCTCAAGGTGGGGCCTCACCAGTGCCGAGTACAGGGGGACCATCACCTCTCGGGCCCTACTCCCCACGCTGTTCCTGACACAGGCCAGGATGCTGGTGGCCTTCTTGGCCACCTGGGCACACTGCTGGCTCCTGTTCAGCCCACAGGCCACCAACACCCCCAGGTCCTCTTCTGCCAGGCAGCTCCAGCCACTCTGCCCCCAGCCTGGAGCGCTGCAGGGGGTTGGTGTGACCCAAGTGCAGGACCCGGCACTTGGCCTTGTTGAACCTCATCCTGTTGGTCTCAGCCCATCCATCCAGCCTGTCCAGATCCCTCTGCAGAGCCTCCCTACCCTCCAGCAGATCAACACGGCCACCCAGCTCGGTGTCATCTGCGAACTTACTGAGGGTGCACTCGATCCCCTCGTCCAGATCATTGATAAAGATGTTAAAGAGAACTGGCCCCAGTACTGAGCCCTGTGGGACACCACTCGTGACTGGACACCAGCTGGATTTAACTCCGTTCACCACCACTCTCTGGGTCCGTCTCTCCAGCCAGTTTTTAGTTATTATTTTAGTTTTATTATTATTATCCATCCCTCCAGCCAGATATTAGTTATTGCCTAGGAAGAAGCAAAACCGATGGAATATTTTAACCTCTTTGCAGTGCAGAGTTTGGGCAACTGGAAGCAAAGCTTACTCCTGTATTATCCCTTTGCCCTGCGGCAAGAGTGAAACCCACGGTTCTCCTGGCGTGCTGATCACTAAATTCCAAATGGGATTTAATGGGTAAGCTGGAGCTGGTGTTGCTGATGGATTATTCCTGGGGATTTAGGCATGAATAAAGACATCAGTTCAGACGGATCAGGACATCTTTTTGGGAGTAATGGATTCCACACGTTTTACCTAAACAGCAAAGTTTTCCTCTTGCCGTGGTCATTTGTGGCTGGTCTTTCTCTGGAGGCCTCGGCTCAGCTATTTCTGCGTTTCTGTTCTTGCTTTTGTTTCCCATGTCACTATCTGGGCTTCAGCAGATGATTACATCAAAATCACAATCAGCCTGCCTCTGTGTGACTTTCAAGCCTGAGGAACACCTTCTCTTCCTCTACTGTCCCTTTCTGCATTTGACTGCCAGCCACCTTCGTATTCAGAGCCAGTATGAAGCCCCGGTCTCTGAAAAGCCCTGAAACTGGATTTCAGTTGCACAACCTCCAGAGCCTATTGTTTTTTGTCTTTTAGCATCCTTAATACTTTAAGCTGCCAATTAAAAAGGGAAGATTAGAGTTTTAAGTTGGCCCTGTTATTCTTGTTTGTGTTGCAAAATGGCACAGGGCTCCCCCACCACCGCCTCCAGGTGAAGTTCACGGCTCCGCAGCGTCCAGGCATAGTCAAGCCCTTCGTTGGCCATTATCCTGATGGGGTTCTGGCTTTAATCAGGTAATTCTTTAATATGTTTTACCCCTTCCATAACCCAGGCAAGAGTGGGGCCATTTCAATTTCAAACTTAATAGTCAAATTCAGGAAAAACTGAGCTGCCAAAGCATGCTGCCAGAGTTTATTTCAGTTTTCAGACGGATCATGTCTGAAAGTAATATATACGGGGATATTATCTCTACAACATTTCTGAAGGAAACTCTACGTAAAGGAAAAGTTCAGCCTAACCATGTCCAGGATTGACCTCACAGGACTGGAGGTTGAGTGGAAAGTAGCTGTAGTGTTATGTTTATCACTTAATACCTACAGTCATCTCCAAGGTCAGTGTTTAGTCACTTTCTGCTGAGGTGAGCAATAAGAAACCAAAATTTGCTCCCTTTCCTCCTTTCTCCTCCAAAAGCCACGTCTTGTCTTTTCTTTTCCAATGTTTAGCAAGTATTGTTATAAAAAAAAAAAGCAATAATTGTTCTAAATGACTAATATGGTCAGATTATATCACTTCCTCCCCCCTTTTCTGAAAGGGAAACAGGACTAAGGACTTTTATGATCTTCGTTTTTATGGAGTTTTGACATGTCTTAAGATGTTACTGATAATCATTAGAAGTATTTTCAGTTGGGCTGGAAATAATGGCACTTATCAATACACTGTGCTAAAGATTGGTTCAGTAGGGTGACTGGAGTAAATGAACTGAGTGAGACTTAAAGAGAAAATGTGAATTTATGAGCATTATACAGAACAGTTGCTAAGTCTTTACTTTCATTGTCACAGCAACTGTAAGGAAAGACACGTCAGCTAGCATGGGTTGTCTCATGAAAAGCCTAAAACCTGATCTGTGTCTAAGCCTCCTGAGATACAAAAGATGGCAAATTAAATCAAAGCCCTTTGCCAAATCGAAGGTCAGAAGTATCTTCATTTTGCCACAGGTTAGTCTAGTACTATTTTGAATTACTATAAAAATGAAAGCAACTTGTCACTGAAAACTTTCCATCAAATTGGTCCAGCTTCTTTGCCAAAGATGCCCAAGAAAGCAAAATTTTCATCAGCTTCAATTCTCCTAACATTATGGAAACACTCAGTGTAGGGCTGAGCTGATGTACTTGGGTCAAGCACAAGCAGGAACCAACCCCAATCCACAGAGATATTATCCTAACTTTAGTTCTCTCTACTGCCTTGGGTAAGTTTTTACTTCTCTGGACTTTTAATTCTCCCCACATGAAAGAGGAATAGTACGTGTTTACCTGTTTTGTGGTGTGGGTGTTTTAAAGCATTAATTATCATTTCTGCAGATCTCTTTCAATGTTACCTAAGCAGTATTGCCAAATACATTTTGAAACCATAGTCATACGTGTGATTCACTATCTGGCCTGGCCAGTTTGGTAAGAAATTTCTTCTCAATTATTTACAATCAAGGTTTTGCTTTGAGTGATACCGTCGGGGGAATCTTGAAGACTCAGATAACAATTAAGTGACTGATGTATTTCTACAATAGCCAAAATAGGCAGCAATGACAAAAAGATTAGAAGAGGCTTCTATTAGCTCACTGCTAATAGCCTCTTACATTGTTATGCTGTAGATTAACTGAAAGCATTATTAAATCTCTGAAAAAGAAAAGCCCCACCTTCATTCAGAAATGCACACTGTGTAGGAAGATACTGAGAGGCTGAAGCTTTACTTCTGACAGATTTAACTGCCAGACTTGGAAACATCCATTGAATTCTTCATAAATTCAAGACGCTTCGTTTGGGAATGAAAAATAGCTAACTGTGCTCAAGTTTGCCCAAAACGTGTCTGAGTTGCTAATCCTCTGCTGTTAAGAAGGAGGGATAAACCTGACGTGTCAGGGCAGGAATCAAGCTCGTAAGCCCAAACGATCTGACGAGCAGCGCTTGCCTCCTCCACGGGCTGTGCGTGGGAGGGAGTCAACTACCAGCCAAGATGAGGACATTGTCCCCAGGAAGATCTTGCTCATATATGAGCTTTGCCTGCACACAACTGCCTTGAGCTACTCAGCTCTGGAAACCTGAGCCCAGCTATCAAAAGACATAACCAGAGAGTGCTGGCACTTCATCTGACTCCCGTGTAATCCTCAGGTAGTTCCAGAAAATTAAAAAAAAAAAAAAAAAAGAAAAGAACAAAAAAAACATCTCAGTTGCAATCTCTCTTCTGACCTTTTGGTGATTTTCATTCATGTAAATGACAGAACAGACTTCAGAAATAGGAATCAAACCTGATCAGGAGAAAGGTGTAACTGCACGCTCCTCTTAAGACAGCGGACCAAATCCATCCTTGGTGCTAACTCCTTGCAAGTCAGAAGAGCAGCTAAACTTGTCCAAGTGTGCCAATTTCCTTTTGCATGTGTCTGCCCAGGCCTCTAAATTTTGACAGTGTAATTTGACCCTTTGTTTTGCTCAGGAGAATTTCCTCAAGTCCCCACACAGAATTTGTCTGGCATTGGCATACGAGCTGTCTCAGTTGCTCAGATTGTATCACCTCATGCTCTGAGGAGGCCAGAGGAGCTACTTTGTCCCACCAGAAGTATAACTCGCCACCAAACATCATGAAAAAAAGATATTCTACATCTTCGGAGAGTCTTTAACAGGTCCATCTGTTTCAAAACTCCTGCTACTAGCTATTTTCAGTAAGGGTCATGTCACTGCAACTGGCCCCTAACCACAGTAATTAGAGAATGGGCTGAAAGGGTTGAATTTGAAAACTGTTAAAGATGATAATTAAGACCAAGGTGTGCTCTCACACAGGCTATTACCTGCACTCTAGATTTATGCCCGTCGCCCTAGGATAGCAAACAACTTGAGAAGAGAAGGCTGGGATCTGGCTGCTGTGTCTGGTGTAACAAATACATCCATTGTGACCAGCGTAAACAATCGGGGGACGTCTCCTCATGGGCTAAGCCATGCCTGATTCCTGGCTACTGCAGGAGTCCCAAATTGCTTTCAACCACAGAACTGGCCCGCCGAGGGAAAGGAGCGGAACCTCCGTTTTCTCAATTCCTTGTCCTGTCTCAAAGAAGCAGAGTACAGCCTCCAGACACTGACAATTGTGTAATAACTTGTCTTCGTTTTTTGCTTTGAACTCAGCAGCAAACAAAGGGACCAGTTCTGCGCTGAGGAGAAGGAATTAAGACAAGTGTAATTTTACACCACCTTTCTGAACCGCACTCAGATTTCATAGCTTAAGGTTGCCTACCAGCTGCTGCTCAAATGCATTCTTCTTCATAGAGCTATCACAGCATTGCACAACTCCCTGCTCACACTCTTTCTCACTCAGCTTTTCCAAATAGGATGGTAGCCCTGTGCTGTGGATCAAAACCCAACAATCCATACTCATGCTCTTTCTCACTCAGCTTTTCCAAATACGATGGTAGCCCTGTGCTGTGGATCAAAACCCAACAATCCATGGATGTTTAAAGGAAAAAAAAAAAGAAAGTCTACTGTTAATATATTACAATCTACCCAACCTTAAAGGTCTTGAAGTAATATGTACTCATCTGTAAATAGAACACTTAAAGCTGCTGATCGTTTTAATTTATTACAAAGAGCTTTATCTGGGGAAACCAACAAGAACATAAAGTTACCTTGCCTTAAAAATAGGGTGTTTGGGTTTTTGCCATTTGTTTTTTCTCTAACAGGTCACCAGGACTGAAACAAAAAGAAATGATTGGAGAAGCTTGTTTTGCTTGTTACTTACTGTACCAACGCACACTGGTTTCCTACACAAACTGCAATGAGACCCAAGGATGAGGAATTTGTCCTTGTCGGGGGTGAAAGGATCCTTCATGACGTAGCTTTCTTCCAAAATCCTACAAGAGAATAATTTCAGGCTTTTAAGGGTAGATTTCACAGTAGGGGAGAGCTGAAATGGGGAAATTGTGGCAGCTGAAAAGGCATCAGCCCTTTCTACTTGATTTGCTTGGCCTGGTGCTGTACAGGAGACAATGCAGCAAGCTATGCAGGTCCCTTCCTCTTCAAAACCAACACTGTGTCTTGCCTTCATTCTTATACTGCACTTTCTATCTGTCTTCCAATGGTAGGGCAGTTTGTGATCCTCTCAGCATTATCTTAGTAGGTTTTTTCAGTGCTCTACCTTAAAGTATTTTTTTTTATCTTCCATTTTTATGACAGGCACTCCTTAGCCTGGCCTGGCCAACTTCAGTACCTTGTCAAGTAATCATTTCAACTGCACAGCTTCTACTCAGAAGTTCTCTTCTAAAGCTGTGCACATGTGAGTATAGAATAAAAAGGGTTTACTGCTCTTAGTTACGTCACTGCTGCAAAGCTAAGGATCCCACCTCTTGCAAGCATGAGCTACTAGCACAGAGCATTACAAGGACCTGAAACATGCTTACTTTATGTCACAGACTGTACTGTTTCCTTCAGGGTATTAAGGGAGTGCATTTATTAATAATTTGGCAACCTGCTTGGGAAAGACTAAGGCCTTATTCCTCCTAGGAGCTCCAGGCAAAATATTACAGAAGTCACCTGGGCATCTGTATGCACAGGGCAACCTGCAGGGCTGTCTTATTTTTGGACTTAATTCAAACTTGGATTCTGTAGTAATATGGAGTACAACACATATTTAAAAGGTACTCTGTTAACTCGTACTGTCTTCTCCTTGTATTACATATATACACACACACACACGTGTGTGTGTCTGTGAGTGTATTCCTTTTTCTCTCTACTCAAAAAATGGTATGGCTCAAGCCTTACGTTGTTAGGAAAGATCAGGCATCTTAACATGGCAGATCACCTTGTCAACAAGTCCCCTAGCATACAAAGACTGGATTACCTTTGCAAAGCTCCCCTTGCAAGATTCACAGCCTTAATGCAGTTATCATCAGTGTAGAGACCTGGCCATTGTACAAGCCTTCATGTCTGGCATATGTTTACAGCAGCACTGCATTTAGCACGTGCGAGTAGACCAGAAAGTAAGCCAATAAAGACAGTGTGTAAAGATATTCTTATATGCAGGTACAGAAGAGTTATGCTTCAGCATTATTCTTCTGCTTTTTGAATTTCAGTAATCCAGATAAAGCTGAGATGTTAACACTCAGCTTGGATAACCTCAAGTGAAGATCCATGTTCAGCTTTGATTCAGACTCTTTACAAATGCATCTGATCAAAGGTGGGCCACTGGTCTGCTGAGTAGAAGAGGGAAAACCAGTGGGATTTGCAATGATAAAAATACAGCTGCCCAAGGAAAACAGCCCAAACAGGTGGTAATCAAGAGCTATTTCCATTTTATAAGAAACTGAGCCATCTTAGTGGGGTGAAATGATGAGTACGTGCCTGACTTCCAGTTCCAGGGAGTTCCTCACCATATTTGCCTCATGAGTTTGTCAACCAGGATGGCCTCAATGGAGCTACATGTACATGTGAAGACAAGTACTTTGTTTCATGGGGAATTTCATGTCTGCAAAGTCATAACTGCATAGTTTCTAGTCAAACTATCCCTACTTAGCAGAAGTGGAAAAAGCTTTGGTCTCCTAAAATGTAAATATGTACTAAACTTCCACACACTTTAATGCCGTAATATCTGCCAAAGAATTGTCTAATTAATTAAAAAAAACAAAAACATTGCCGTTCAAAACTCCACATCATGTCAAACAGCCCTTAAAAAGTGTTTTTCTGCCACATATATTTAATTCATGCTGTGTTTGTGTTGCCCAGCTGAAAGGGCTATTCCCAGAAATCCTAGGCTGACAGTCAACACTATTCTAGTAAGAAAATAATGGTAGGCTGACATTCTAGTAAGAAAATAATGATTCAGGTAAATAGTAGCGTGGAAATACGTTAACTACTAAATAGCTGTCAAAAAAATCTTTGCACGGCATTGAAGCAGGACAGGAAAGTTGATTTTTGTCTTGGCTATCAAGGCTGACAATTTTGGACATCTCTTCCCTTTGGAAAAAGAAGGTCACTTTAGTAGCAAGCCTCCTATTCAGGGGCAATATGGCATGTTGTCGGGTTCATGCAGCATGTGTCATTCCAGAGCACAAGGCTTCCAATGAAGTCTGTGACACGAAAGACCCTACTTACACAACGGAGCGTGCGTTTGGTGGCTTCTGCCCATAGTACGTGTATGGAGCTGTCAAGCCACACAGCTGACATTTGAACTCTCCCGTTGGCTGAACTTCTTTGGGAGCATCCATCTTTAAGCTACCTACAAGAAACACAAAAATCCATTAGCTCCAAAATGCAATACTGGAAACGCGCCTGCAAGACAATTAAACTGATGTGGAACATTTGGCTATGCAAATTAAAATCCAATGGAAAACTGACTCCGTAAACCTTGATTAGTAAATCTTTTCTTCCAAATCAAGTCCCAGTTAAATTTCCAAATTCCTCAGACAGGTTTAGAAACTGCAGCCTGGGAGCCTAGCTATAGAGTTCACCTAGTCATTTGAAACTTGATCCATAGAAGAATTTAGGTAACAAAATATATGGCTGTGACCTGGAAAACCCTCTGCTCCATCAATGCCTACGCTCCCCAAGCGCTTCCCAAGAAATGACTCCTTATCTGTTGTAGGTAATCCCAATCCAGTTCCACAATGCCTGCCTCCTCCCACAAACTGCAAATGGAGCCATGAAAGGGTCTGGGACCCCGCTCAGGAGACAGGTACCAGAAAGGTAGGTGTTGCAATGGTGAACTGTGTCTTTTTCTTTGCTTCTGGTTCACCTTTGAATTAAGAGTTTTGGGAGCTTAACCCTGGCTCCCTGTTCTTATCTGGCTTCCTAGGGAAATGAGGCTGATGTAATCACCCTCTGCCTAGATAGAACGTTGGCCCCATTCAAGCCACACAGGACAGAGGAAAAGGTGCTTTCAAAAAAGTTTAGGTCCTATAGCTTTTATGAAAATAGACAGGAGAGGGAGACTCTGCTTTATCTGCACAGAGGACACCCATCAGAGGATCTGCACGTAGGAAAGCTACTGTCCATCTGTCTGAAAGATTTCAGACCCCCCTTACAAAGCCGTAGCTATCAGTCATGAGACACAGAAGATAGGAAGCCATGCTTCATCAGCTTTGGTGCTTACAAGATGAATTGTTTTAAAATCTTGACCATTGATTTACATTTGGGAGTTTATCCTTCACTCATAGCACTTTAGCTGAAAGTCACGCGCTTTTTCAAAAAGCATGGTGTGGCAAGTATGCTCTTGGGACTGATTTGGGTATGTATGATCAGATCAAGCACAGCTAACCACCTGCATGCCCCAAAGTTGCACCAGTCCATAAATGAAATGCTATCAATAGTTTGCTATTTCTATGGTCACCTGCACCACAGAATCACAGAATCTTCTAGGTTGGAAGGGACCTTAAAGATCACCTTGTCCAATCGTCAACCTCACTGACAAAAATAGGCACCCACACAGCAAACAAGGAGCATCATCACTAAACCATACCTCCCAGCACTACATCAACCTGTCTTTTGAACACCTCCAGGGATGGTGCCTCAACCACCTCCCTGGGCAGCCCAGTCCAATGGCTGAGAACCCTTTCAGGAAAAAAATTTTTCCTAATATCCAGCCTGAACCTCCCCTGGTGTAACTTGAGGCCATTTCCTCTAGTCCTGTCGCCTGTGATTTGAGAGAAGAGACCGACCCCCACCTCTCTACACCCTCCTTTCAGGGAGTTGGAGAGAGCAATAAGGTCTCCCCTCAGCCTCCTCTTCTCCAGGCTGAATAACCCCAGCTCCCTCAGCCTCTCCTCATAAGACTTGTGCTCCAGACCCCTCACCATCTTTGTCGCCCTTCTCTGGACCCACTCCAGCACCTCTATGTCTTTTTCTTGAACAGACACATTCACCTTGCAGTTAGCAAGAAAACTCAAGCTTTTCGCTAAAAGCCCTCACGCTTTCCAGGGCATGCACTTTTCTGCTTGCAAGCCCATCAGCTTTTTTAACTGAAGCAGAACTGGCATCAAGCCGTCAGGAAGGCGAGCACCAGGAACTCTGATTTGGGCAGTATCTCAGCATTTAGGTTGTGCGTGCTCACAGCTGAGCAGATACACAGCCTGCCAAAGGACAGCAGGTCATTCCCACTCTTCCAGCTTTGCAGCCATACCCTTTCCCCAGCAGAGCTGATTCAGTTCACTAAGGCCACGGTTCTATTTCTGTTTTAGCTCAGCTCAGGGGTTTGCTTTGAGAACAAATTGCCTGTCTTCGCTTACCCCACGCGGTTTGTGTTGTGGAGCAATCTTACAGCCCACAAACCGGACAGTTTCAGATAAAACTAAACTGAAAGAGGTTCTCCAGAAGCACACTCCACACATTTCAACCCAAATGACCAACCAATGGCTGTTCAGCCTACAGGCTAGGACAGAGGTAGTCTGAAACATCCTCAAACAGGCTGAGGGAGCTGGGATTGTTCAGCCTGGAGAAGAGAAGGCTCCGGGGAGACCTTATAGTGGCCTTTCAATACCTGAAGGGGGCCTGTAGAAGAGCTGGAGAAGGACTCTTTGCCAGGAGGTGTAATGATAGGACAAGGGGAAACGGTTTTAAATTGGAAGAAAAAAGATTCAGATTAGATCTCAGGAAGAAATTTTTTACTATGAGGGTGGGGAGACACTGGAACAGGTTGCCCAGGGAAGCTGTGGCTGCCCCATCCCTGGAGGGGTTCAAGGCCAGGCTGGATGGGGCCTTGAGCAACCTGGTCTGGTGGGAGGTGTCCCTGCCCAGGGCAGGGGGGTTGGAACTGGATGATCTTTGAGGTCCCTTCCAACCCAAACCATTCTGTGATTCTGTGAAACACAGACAGTGGGCAGCTGGTAGCCAACACCAAACACCTTGCTCTAGGCTTTCACTCTTACTGCATCACACTAGTTACTAACGTGGTAACAAATGAAAAAAAAATACCTTTTTTTTTCTTCTTCCAACTTTTTTTTTTTTCTTGTTTTAGGGAACTAAATTGGCTTGCAGAGGAATCCAACAACTGCTAACAGTAGTGCAAGGCAAGAGGCCTTGCCCCCCACAGCCAGGGGAAAGGAAGGGCTGAGATGAGGGACCTGTATTTCCCTCTTTCAATGACAGTAGGCTGCTATTTCTGCTCACCCTATGTGGTGAAACCGAATCCTTCGAGACATATGCTGCTAAGGTGAATTAGGGGCAAGGTGAAGCAGAGCTGTGACTACTTGTCATCTAAATGTTCCAGAAGAACAGGGAGCCCCAAGATCCTCAGAGGTTACAGAGGCTTCGTAACAGACACCCAGTTCAGAAAGTCCTGTTAAATCCTGAAACTTAATTTTGGGAATAATCTCCCTTACGTCATCATTCCCTCACCACTAGCCTTTCCACTGCTGCTCCTGGCATTTTAGTAGTACAGGAAGTTCTTCAAATGTAACATAAATGGGGCTGGGTACTGGTTTAATAAATAAATCCCTGTGAATACCTTAGGCAACTACATTTTTTCGAAAGTGAGGTAACTCTTGGATATCACATATTTTTCCTACCTCACAGGGATGCCTGAAAGAATTTAATTAACTAAAGTGCTTTCAGATTTTTCAGTTAGATGTAAGGCATGTACATGCTACCTATTTCTCCCTGTATATTGAAACAGTAATTCTTCAAACTATACACAAAACTCAACTAAGAAGTCTGCTTTTGGGACCCTGCACTTCAGGTTTACCAGATAAGTCCCCCAAACACACCTAAGTGTACCTTTTCTGTAGGTAATCAGTGGTAATACCAAGACACCCTCCTGTGCCAATGAGATTCAGTCCCAAACACCGTATGCAATTTTTTGTAATCAGCCTTTTCAAAAAAGGGGAAATAATTAACTCTACAAACGTAAGAGTACGGAAAGTCACCTAAATCAAATACAGAAGACCATCACGGTGATGTTTTTCTCTAAAATAAAGCAAAACACTAAGAACAACAACAAAAAAAAAAGTATTTATGGCAGTGAGGGTCATACACTTTGGAACGAATGTGTCCTGATTCCAAGTCAAAATAACAGCCCTGGGTTCAGAGCCGAAGTACGTTAGATATAGAAACACCTGCTCTCTTACAGGCCATTGGCATGTAGAACAGAATCTGTTCAGTGACTACCACTGGGAAGGAATGACATCTATGTACAAACAGATTTTTGGCTATGCCAGTTGAAAAGCATATGATCCTGCCTGCAAGGCACAGATGAATTTATGATGCTTTCCATTCTACTCCCAGCTTACAAGTCATTGGTATCAGCTGTACCAAGTTTTATTCCACTGGGAACATCATTTGTCCTGAGAGCTTGTCTACAGAGAGCAAGACTTGGGAAAGCTAAGGTCACTAACTCAAGGTGTGAAGTTAATGAGCATAGGGATTTCAGAGTGAATGCTCCCATTCAGAAGTAAAATTTGCTATATAACAAAACAAAGCCATTTTCCTCTGAAGAAAGAAATTTAATGGCAGAGGTAACAAGCTTTCAGTTTATGCATGTGCTTCACATCTTCAGTCTAAACTACCAAGCAGACAAGACCCAAGATGCACTCTCTCACAGAGCTTCTAGTGCTTCCAAAAAGCAATTAAAAGAACTGCATCGTTATGTGAGTGTAATAGCACATGCAGAACAGCAATTCTGGGACAAAACCGCAGTTGAGACAGACATTGTTTTATCACAAAGCTCACTGGTTCGGCCCTATACACCATCTTAGCAAGATGCCTGATATGACAACTATGACAAGGTGTCCACCTCCCCTCCAAGCATGAGTGAGAACTCGTTTCTCTCTAGCATACCAAGCACAGGATAAAGGACCTCTTGAGCAGATAAAAGTCCAGGGCACTAATCCCTTCATAATCATCATCAAGCAAATTTGTGACCTCAAGTGACTCAAATCATCATCGGTGCTAACACTGGTTTTTTTTCTCTTGTCCTTGAAATTTTTTGAAGCAGCACCAAGTCCCAGGAACATGTCCAATATCTGGCTGGCTGGTACTGGCTTCTTCTAGAAGAAGCCTTCTAGAAGAGCTTGTTTAGAACTGAATTCCACCCAAGCATTTGCCATTTTGGCTGGAAGCTGCAAAGTGCTTAACCACACACTTACTTTAAGCACGTGCCTAGCTCTTCTGAAAAGAACAGGGCTACCCACACACGCGTGGTTACGAAGCAAACGCTGAACCAGCACGCTCAGCAGAAACTTGCCAAGTCAAGCCCAGAACGCTGCAGGACGTGTGGCAGGTTGGCCCCAGGTGTCATGGGGAAAGGTAAGCACACAGATTTCAATACCATACTCGGGACAAAACTGCAGAAAAAGAAAGGCACAGGTTAGACAGCAGCGCTGTAAGAGTGTTTCTCCACGCTGTGACTGATACATGATACGGATGTGGGGAAATGGCTCTCAGTCTAGTTCTCTAGGGACTCCTAAAAACTTCAGGGCAGTTCTGCTCGAAGCATTCTGCTAACAGGCCTGGAAGGCATGCCAGAAATAATAAATCACCATTAAATTGTCAGGGTCAGTGGCAAAGTAGTGGCACAGATAAGTAATCTGATTTTCTTTGCTTCAAACCCCATTAGCACAAGTCTTTACAACGCATAGGTTAAGCCCCTCTTAATACTCCACAGGAGACTCGTGCATTTCTGAGTCACTGATAAACTAGAGAAACTCCACAAGAAACAAACAGCCTACAAACAGACATAGACTTTGATTTGAAAGGCTGTCAGATAAAACCAACACTGACACACCTTTAATCCTCTCCAATTAAACCCTTGTTTCTTTTTCCTGCCAAGATCCTCCTGCAGTATCCACTGCTGATGACGATGACCTATTAAAATATTCACAGCTTGATTCCCTATGGGAAGGAGTGCTCTCTAATAGAAGCGTAGGAGCCACCGAGTTCATGGCCTGGTAAATGCCAAGTTATTTTGCAGTGTTTGGTGTGATATAAATTTAAATATACTTCAGCACCAGGAATGCACTCACCTCCTTCAGAAAAGCGATCTGTTGCCTCATTGCTCAGGTAATAGATGAAACAGCAAAACCTTCTTACTTGCTAGTTAATCTCCAGGTGAACAACACTCTCCCTCCAGTTCCTTCATGTTATTGCCCTGAAGACATGTTTAGGTCACCTGTTGGCTGCCTCCCTGCTCTTCCTTTGAGGTGACTTACCTTGGGTTTAGCTAAGAAATTAGCCCAGGAATGCAATTTCACCAAGCATGGCCATTTGGAACTTTTACCCTTATTACCTCTCTCCCAAAGATCACCTGATTGAATTAAGCCTTGACTTGTTGCAGCAACTGCTCCCTTCAAGCCGGGGGGACTGTGCTGGTATGGCTGTGTTTTCTCTGAAGGCACTGAGGTCACTGCAGCACACAGGCTTCCCTCAAGGTCCAGGGTCATACAGCAGGCCCCAAGCCCTGCTTTTTAACAACAGCTCGTGTGGACTCCCTGTGGCTGTATGATAAACAGCCTCCGTGGTCACAGATGTGAAAGCAAGCATGTCTCCTGAACAGTCATAGCCAATGTTTTGAGCAGGGTGTGTCAGCAGAAAGAGAGGAGGCAAGCAAATCAAAGCCCTTCCTTAGGTAAAAAGGCTTTCCAAACACAAGAGAAGCTCAAAAAGGCATCAACTGATGCCTGACTTCACAAAGCCGAGAAACCAACACTCAAAAAAATCTAGCCTGAGTACTCCTTACTTGAATATGGCAGGCAGCCAGCTCTGAATTTGACAGCATCTAATAAAGAAGAATCTCGAATTAGGTGAGAATGTAACAGCTTCAGACAGGAATGCTGCAACAAGGCACCGCTGAACCAGTGTGTACCACTGGCATCTACTGGACACCACAGACCTGTACAGCCCCAGCCTCTGGCCCATATTAGTTAGTGGCTGTGGGGAATCCTCATTTCAGCACCTTAGCTGTTAAAAGTCACTCCGTTGTTAAAAGCCCAGCTGAGTGGATCACACAGCAAGTGAAGGAGAGAATAAAATAAAAGCAAGTTGCCCAAGCATTTCTGGTTGAGGCCATCTCCACGTGCGGTGGCAGAAGCACAGCGAACGGTGCATCTCTTTGCTGTGTGACAGAACAAACAGTCCTGCCAGAGGAGGAACTACAGTGTTATTAGCTCTTCCTTTCCTTCCCCCCAGAATTAACCTGTGGTCATATCTGGGTTTCTCCTTGACCCCTCTCATTCATGTTTCTTCTCCTTCTCTTACAGCAGGCTTTTCTAAGCAGAGCACAAAGCTTATCACGTCATCATCCACGATGTGGTTCTAGCCTTCTATATGTAAAATGGCCTAGAAATTAAAGGAAGGCAAACTTGTTGCTCTTCTCACAAACAATTATAGAGACTTACTGGAGAGAAGGTAACGCAGGAGATCCAAATGTTGAAGTGTTTACCAAAGTGAACACCAGTTCTGGATTACAGTTATTCCTTGCCAAAACAGGGGAACCAGACCTGAGCTCTGATTGCATTAAATCTCCCTTTCGTTATAGGGAAATAAGCACGCTATGGCCATAGGTTAACCCCTGCCCTCAACTGATTTTATCTTCCTTTCAAACTTCAGCTCTTTACATAGCTTTGTCAGATTAATATCCATAGTGGGGAAGAATAAGATGGTAAGGTTCTATTAATATATAAGTTGTCCTTAAAGAAAAGTTATGGAGGGCCACATATGTACCACTGCAAGTATCAGCTTGGTTAAGCACAATCTAAACTTAGTGCAACACTTTCCAACAGAGTCTAAAAATAGCAACACCAAGATTTTGTGGAAATACACGAGGAGAGGCTAACACAGTCTTTTGGGAAATGAGACACTGCAAGTCGACACAATCCTGAAAGAAATATATATAGCTTCACTGATTTATCTCCCTATAGAAAGCGAAGTTGGTACCGTAAGCAAATACTGTGTCCCCACTATGTGGGGTTCATGTTACAATGTCCTTGCTGGGACAGCCAGTGCCCACTTTCCCCTGTGACCAGCAAGATGTTAATATACACAGAGAGGTGAATTCTTTCCAGTAAAATGGGACTGAGGTCCTCAATTTGTTAGGACTGAGCTCAAGTTGAAGACTCCATAATGATGTAATAACAATGATTTTTTTCTTCAAAAAGAAAACAGAACACAAGACTGCTGGAGGGGTAGGAGGGTACGGGGTAAAGACTGTCATCGTCATGAAAATCTGAAAATAAAGACTTTTACCTACTATATAGAATAGTTTCTCATGCACATAAACCCACACACCTTCTTACAGGCATGCCCATTTCCTCTGAGAGGTGTGTTCCTCAAGTTTTACTATGCCAGCTATTGTGAACAGCCAGCTAGAGAAAACACCAACAAATAGGTCCATGAGCAAGCCTGGATTAAGCGTGAAGGAAAACCACATGATCAACCTCTCTCCTTACGCAGACCACTTCTAGCCTCACTGAGATATGGAGATATTTACTGAGGTTCTCAGAGCAGACTCAGAAAGAAACTGTGGTACTTCATCTCTCATATATCTTGTGAGCTTCCTAACTCCCCCCCATTTTTCAAGGGGAGTTGAGTACCTGATTGTTTCCATGGCTCTAAGGTGCTTCAATTTCAAAGCTGTGATCCCACCACCACCTTGCTCAAGTGCAACCTCATATTGGCAACACCTACAGATGACAGGAAACAAAGGCTTCCCCTAAGTTCCCTAGGCTCCTTAAAGCCCCTCTGTGCACGTCCAAAAGCAGTGCCCTAGCACAGCTCTGAACTTCCCTGGAATCTTCTCCCTGGTCCCCTTCAAGGCTGCATCCTGTAGCTCCGCCATCAACTCACAAAGTTCCTCAGAAAAAGCCATTTGTGGCCACTACACTGTATTAAACAAAGAACAGACCTTATATTAAAGCCCTTATGTAGGGGAAAAAAAAAAAAATAAGAATCAGAATCAAGCTTTGGCTCTACTTCCAGAATCATAGAATTGCCCAGGCTGGAAGGG